AAAAATGCATTTGATAGACAGTATTGTAGAATGGAAAGAGCTTTACCTTTAGAGTCATAGTTGATTCTAGTCCCTACCACTTATATAGTTTCTGCATTTTTATGTAAGAATAATATTTGCCTCTCAGGGTTGTTGTGATGATTAAATGAATTAATATATAAAATACGTGTAATATAGAAATTGGCCAACCCAAACCAGGGATTGAGCCTGCAACCTAGGCATGTGCCCTGACCGGGAATTGAACCATGACCTCCTGGTTCGTAGGTTGAAGCTCAACCACTGAGCCATGCTGGCCGGGCTATTTTATCAAACCTTTAAGGAACAAAATAACGCCAATCTTACATAAAATATTTCAGAAAATAGAGACAGAGGAAATAATTTCCAAATGTTTTATGAGGCCTGCATTCCTTGTAATACACAAAACTGACAGACATTAAAAAACAGCAACAAAAGAAAATTGCATTACATTCCTAATGAATATCAACACAAAAATTCTGCCCTAACCGGTTTGGCTCAGTGGATAGAGCATCGGCCTGCGGACTGAAGGGTCCCAGGTTCGATTCCGGTCAAGGACATGTACCTTGGTTGCGGGCACATACCCAGTAGGGAGTGTGCAGGAGGCAGCTGATCGATGTTTCTCTCTCATCGATGTTTCTAACTCTCTATCTCTCTCCCTTCCTCTCTGTAAGAAGTCAATAAAATATATTAAAAAAAAATTCTAACAAAATAATAGCAAATAAATTCCAGTGGTATGCATCAAAGGATAATATAATGACTAAGTAGTGTTTATTCCAAGTTATCCTAACGTTGGTTTAACACAGTGATGGCGAACCTATGACATGCGTGTCAGAGGTGACACGCGAACTCAATTTTTGGTTGATTTTTCTTTGTTAAATGGCATTTAAATATATAAAATAAATATAAAAAATATAAGTCTTTGTTTTACTATGGTTGAAAATATCAAAAAATTTCTATATGTGACACGGCACCAAAGTTAAGTTAGGGTTTTTCAAAATGCTGACATGCCGAGCTCAAAAAGTTCGCCATCACTGGTTTAACACTTGATAGTTAATCAATGTAATTTCCTATATTAACAAAATAAAAAAAGAAAAACTATGTAATTATTTAAACATGCATATGAAAAAGCATTTGACAAAATTGACCACCATTCGTACAAAACAAACAAACAAACAAACAAATAAATAAATAAATAAATACCTCCTGCAAAAAAGCATAAAAAACTGGTGGTTTCTAACCAGTGCAAAAAGGTCAGAAATAAAAATGAAAAAACCCTAAGATCATAATAAAAGAAGTAAAACTATAATTGCAAATGGCATCATAGTTTAGGTAGAAAAATCCTAAGGATTCTATAAGTCAATTATTAGAATTTGTCAAGATCTCAGAATACCAGATCAATATATAAAAATCAATTGTATTTCTATTAATTAAAAAATTATAAAATGAAATATAAAAATTCCATTTAAAACAGAATTTAAAACCATAGGAACAAGTGAACAAAAGCTGTACAAGAGTCCTATGTTTAAAACTACAAAACACTTTCAAGAGAAATCAAATAAGATCTAAATAAATTCATAGATGGACTATGTTTATGTATCAGAAGACTCAATAGTGTTAAGCTTATTCCTAAATGAATCTATAAATTCAAGGTAATCATAGTTACGATCTTACTGCTCTTTTTTTTTAGAAATTGACAAGCTAATTCTAAATTGTCTATGGAAATGCAAAGGAGGTAGCACAACCAAACACCTGAAAAAGAAGAGAAAAGTAGGAGGACTCACAGTATCTGACTTTATTTATTTATTTTTAAATTATTATTTTTTAATTTTTTCTTTATTTTATTTTTCTTCATCACTATTTATCCTCCCTATACCCTCTTCCACTCCCAACCCCAACCCCACCCACAGTCACCACACTGTTTTCCATGTCTGTGAGCTCTTTCTCTCTTTTCTTTTCTCAGATGTTCCACTCCCTTCAATCTCTTCTTCCCCACCAGAGCTGTCTGCCTGCTCTCTATCTATGAGTCTGTCTGTATTTTGCTTATTAGTTCAGTTTGCTTACTAAATACCACAGGTGAGTGAAATCATATGGTCCATAGTACTTGACTTTAAGACTTACTATAAACCTACAGTAATCAAAATAGAATGACATTTACATAAAAAGAGACAAATAGATTAATGGAACTGAATAAAGAGTCCAAAATTAAGATCCTTCCTTTATGGTCATTTAATTTTCTATAAAATCTTCAAAGAAATTCAGTGGAGAAAGAAAAAAAATGTAATGCTGGTTGTTCTAGATAGCAATATGCAAAGAAAGGGAAGGGCGGGGGGAAGGAAAAACCTCTACTTCACACCATAAGAAAAAATAAATTCAACATGGTCTTTGAACTGAAGGTAAAAACTAACATGATAAGGCTTCTGGAAAAAAACCATAGGAGGGTATCTTTGTACCTTGGGGATAAAAAAATATATATTTTAGATAGCACACAAATTAATAACCATAAAAATAGGCAATTAGATTCATCAAAATTGAAAACTAGTGCTCATCAAACTATACATTTAAAAAATTAAAATAATTTTTTTATTGATTTTAGAGAGAGAAACATCGATTTGTTGTTACACTTATTTCTATATTATTGGTTGATTCTTGCATATGCCCTGACCAGAGATTGAACCTGCAACCTTGGCATATGGGGACCATGTTCTAACCAACTGAGCTACCTGAACAGGGCTCAAGCTATACTTTTTAAAAAAATGGGCAAGCAACGAAGTGGGAGAAAATATTTGTGAAATATTTTCCTTTGACAAAGGACTTGTAGCTGCAATATATACTTATAAGAACTCCTTCAAGTCAATAATAAAAAGATAAACAATCCAATTTTTAAAAAAGTGGGCAAATATTTGAATAGACATTTAACAAAGAACAACATATAAATGACCAATAAGCACATGGGAAAGTGTTCAGCAATATTAGTCATCAGATAAATGCATATAAAACCGCAATGAGATAGCATTACTCAACCACCAGAAAGGCAAAAATTTAAAGGGCTTACAACCACAACATTGGCAAAGATGTGGAGGAACTGAAATTCTCATACAGTGTTGGTGAGGGTGATGAAATGATATAATCACTTTTGAAAAGGCTCTGTCAGCGTCGAAATAGAACTATACTGCATTATGACCCAGCAATTCTACTCCTAGGTATTTATACAAGAGGCTGGAAACATGTTCAGAGAAAGATTTGTATAAGAATGTTCATAGCAGGCCCTAACCGGTTTGGCTCAGTGGATAGAGCATCGGCCTGCGGACTAAAGGGCCCCAGATTCGATTCTGGTCAAGGGCATGTACCTTGGTTGTGGGCACATCCCCAGTGAGAGGTGTGCAGGAGGCAGCTGATCAATGTTTCTATCTCTCTATCCCTCTCCCTTCCTCTCTGTAAAAAATCAGTAAAATATATTTTTAAAAAAATGTTCATAGCAGGTTTATTCATATTAGCCAAAAACCTAATAAAGCTCAGGTGTCCATCAATAAAAGAATGGATAAACTGTGGTATATTCATACAATGTAATAGTATTGAAATACTACTCACCAATAAAAAAAGAATGAGTTATTGATACACACAAAAACATGAATGGCCATCGTGCAGGTATGAAAGAGAAGAAGGGGTTTGCCTCTGGGAGTGGGAGCAGGGACTGACTGGGCAGGGGAATGAGGAAACATTCCAGATCTGGAATAATGATGTTGTATATCATGACAGGGGCTTGGATTACACAGATGTATGTATTTATCAAAACTCATCAGATGGTACAGTAAAGATTGTGCATTTCATTGAACATGAAATTTACCTCAAGGAAATGTTAAACAAGTATTAAACTCTAGTTAGTGACATGCATCCGTAAATGTTAGGTAAAGTAGACTGAGGTCTGCAACTTAAAAACACATCCGAAAAGTAAAGAAGATGAATAGGTGGATGGGTAGATGAATGAATATCGGATAGCATGTGAAGAAGCCAGTGTAGCAAAATGATAATTATAGAATCACATGGGAGGTATCTGAGTGTTCATGGTATAATTATTTTAATTTTTATTTATGTTTTAAAATTTTCATAATAAAGTGTTGGGAACGAAAGTCTTTGTTGCTACAGTTCTAGGTAAAATGACTCTTGGTCAGGCTTCTATATTTAAAAAAACAGCATTTTGTGTATGTGCTTATAAAGGTTAATTATAATATTGCATCCCAGAGAATTTTTATTTTTAATTGTTGATAATGTAATTACTGCTCTGTCTCAACAGAGCGGTGCCCCATGAGATTGTGTGAATTTTCTGTACCTTGTTACAAGATACAATAGGCTACCCAGTAGCATCAGTTTGCTCCAGTGTGAATTTTTGAGGCATATCCCATAACATTGTACCTCAGATTGCCTAGTTGAATATCTAGAACAAAATAATGTTGGTCACAGGTTTATATCACCAGAGGGATGTTAAAAAGGGCTTTAGAAATATTCAGGAGGAAATGTCATCATTTATCTGTTGTTAGTCTTAAGTTAAAAATAAATAATTATTTAACTATGTCCCTCAGAAATATTTCCCTTGAATTTATTTCTTGCTTTTACCAAATTTGGTGCCATATTTTCAACAATAAGAGGGTATGAGTAAGGTCTTGTGATTTAATTTAATTTGCTTAATGCTACCTTGGAATTAAATGAAAATATATCTTCTCACTTGGAAAAAAAAAAGCACAAAGAAAGGAGTCACAGAAAGGAGAAGAAAAATCTGAGGGAGTGATTTACAAAGTAGAGGTTTCCTGGCCTTCCCCCTCTTCTCGCCATATTTCTCTTGCATTAAAAAATATCCCGGGAAATTTTTTGTAAGTGAAATTTCATATCTATGGCAATGAAATACACACTATCAGTCCATCTGAATTAATAAAAACCAAGTTTAACTTAGTGGCAAAGAAGATGTGAAGATTTCATACAAAACTTACCGAGCACTCCTGTCCCTGAGAGTGGCTAGGAAGAAACCCATGAGCCCGATGCAAACAGCCTTTAGTGTCTGGGGTCAGGACAGGACAGCCCGCCTTGGTTAATAAGCATTTCACTGCGCCCTCCCAGGCTGTGGAAGCGTAGGCACCTCCTGATGCCACTTCATTAGTCAAGGTTTATCCAAGAAGAGTGTGTACCTCTGAAGAATCAAGAAGGAAACAGGAAGCAGTGTGAGTGAAGTTCAGTTATTTACTTTTTCTATCACACACCCTTTTGTAAATACCTCTAATATATACAGCTCTGAGCAAGCAAAGACTGTCCCTGGGTTAGTACACACTTGAGATCCAACAGGTGGTTGGTTTATAGGAGTGACGTATCTGAACACAGGTCAATTTCTATAGCATTCTTTTAACAGTGAGCCAGGTTGAACTAACGAGAGTTTGGTAAACAATTAACTTTCCAACCATTGTTTATCTTGGAACTTTATAGCTAGTTGTCAGGTTGTCTGAGTTTTAATTGCTGTATTTTAAGTTGGCCCTTTTGTTTTTTATTTCACCAGGAGATCTCATTCCTTTGCTTTCTCTTTTTCATTATATTTTTTATCTTAAAAGCATTAATTAATTGAAGAACTAAGGAGTAAGAGCAACACTTCTGGGAAAGACTTTAGCAGTATATACATGTTTCTAAACCGAGGCTTTTGAATGGAAGGAGTTATAAGGGGTCACTAAATTCACGTCTACCACACAGAATTTACAAGTTGAAAAATCTTGCTCATATGTGCTCTCCAGGAAGTGCACAAAGATGCTGTGGTAAATTATTGACAAATAAGCATTTGGGTCCTGGACGGGTAGCTCAGTTAGTTAGAGCGCCAAGGTTGCAGGCTTGATCTCCAGTCAGGGCGCATACATGAAGCAACCAATGAATGCATAAATAAGTAAAACAACAAATTGCGCTCTCTCTCTCTCTTTCTCTCTCTCTCTCTCTCTCTCTCTCTCTCTCTCTCTCTCTCTCTCTCCCCCCCGCCCCCCCGCCATCCCAGATGTGTTGATTACAGTACCAAGTGCTGGCTGTGTAAATGGTATATTGTCTCTGAAAAAAAAAAATATTAAGAGAAACATTTTAGATTTGAAGAGAGGAAACCAAGAGAGCATCAAATTTTGATCCTGGGTGAGAGATACAGGGAAGTCTACTGCAGTGCTATTCAGTAAAAATATGAGAGGCACATATGTAATTTAAATTTTCTAATAGCCACATATAAGAAAGCAAAATAAAATGGTAAAAATTAAATTTAATATTATGTGTTACTTTATCCATTATGTGCAAAATATCATTTCAATCTATAAGTCCATTGTGTATTTCACAGTGAACTCGGACTAGCCATGTTTCAAATGCTCAATAGTCACACGTGGCTGGTAGCTATTGTACTGGACAACATAGACTGAATTTAAGAGATAATAGCATATTTAAAAAATAGTTTAAGGAATCAACAGGGCATCTATGGGAAACTATGAAGCTAATTTTGGAGAGTAGAAAAAAAATGCAAGTAAGTGCCAAGCACCGTATTCCAAAGCGTGTTTTCAGAACATCAGGTGCTCAAAATGCTTATTTTCCATTTTTATTTATTGATGAGAGAGAGAGAGAGAGAGAGAGAGAGAGAGAGAGAGAGAGAGAGAGAAACATCAATGAGAGACAGTCATCAATGGGCTGCCTCCTGCACCCCCTCTGCATGCCAGGGCATGTGCCCTGACCGGGAATTGAACCCATGACCTCTGGGAGCATAGGACGATGCTCAACCACTTGAGCCACACCAGCTGGGTGGAGTCACATTTTTATATATATTATTATTTAATGGGGCAATAGATTTTTCATTAAAAATTTCCTCTTCCATTTGATGCCTGTTTACTTCTTTTTCTTCATTCTTCTTTCCTATCTTCTTCCCCCTTTTACCTCTCTGCCCATACAAGGGCTCATATTTGGTAACCAGCATCACTGCTGCTCCTGTGTTACTGGTGGCTTTCATCCCAAACTGAAGGAAGGTGGTACATCATTTTAGTTATGGTGTCGGTTGACTTGGAGGTAGGGTTTAAAAGACTGGCATGTGTGGGCTAGTCAGGATATTAAGTGAAAAATCATGTCCCATCTCATTTAGCCTTAAGTTAAAAAGTTGAAGTTTAAAAAATGCACGCACAGCCCTAGCTGATTTGGCTCAGTGGATAGAGCATTGGCCTGCGGACTGAAGGATCTCAGGTTTGATTCCAGTCATGGGCACATGCCTGGGTTGTGGGCTCGATCCCCAGTGTGGGGCATACAGGAGGCAGCTGATCAATGATTCTCTCTCATCATTGATGTTTCTATCTCTTTCTCCCTCTCCCTTCCTCTCTGAAATCAATAACAATATATTTTTAAAAATGCACACACACACACACACAGACAGCATATTATTATGTAGATTTTTAAAAGTGCCCTAGTTTATGCAGATTTTAAAATTTAGAATGTAGAAAGTGTATGAGCTCTCCCCAAACATCAGAAATACCACACTGTCTGAAAGAGCAAGAGAGGTTGAGATAGGAATACTTGAAGTCTCATTGCTCATGTTCCACAGGATTCTAATGCCAACCTCACTAGTACCTCAGCGACAGAAATCCCCAGCAAATTGGGAGCAGAAGGGATCTTCTTCAATCTGATAATGGGCACGTATAAAAGCCCAGAGCTAACATTACACTGAAAGGTGAAATGTTGAATGCTTTTCTCCTAAGGCAATTCAGCCAAATCTTTTCAACCTTATGCTGAGGTTGTAGCCAGTCTGATAGGTATGCCCTTCATAACACTTTCAAATAGATGTTACTTTTCTTCTTTTGCTTGAGGGATACACTACTTCTGACGCGTTCCATCACTGTAGAGTTCTGTTAGAAAAGGTCAACTTATATGAAATCAAATTGTGTTTCCTTGAAACTTCTACCAACAGAACTTATTTTCATGCTTTTATGTACATAGATCATTTGCAATTGGGATATTTGAGGACGGTTACACCATTCCATGAGAGACTTCAGTTTGGCAGCTCTTTTATAGGCTTTTGCTTTATATTAGGAACATAAATCCTCTGAAAATCCTGGTTGTTTTTATTTAAATCATTTGTAGTTTGTCAAGTGTTCATCTAGGAAATGTGGTGTCCAGAGTGTATACAACATCTACAGGGGTTCTGCTCTGGACACAATAGGCCAGGAATGTTGCCTCTTTATTCTAAATAATTCCCCCCGTTAAAGAAAAGTTTTGTTCTTACTATGAACCCATATGTTCATTCTATTTTAAACCTGCTGCAGATAAACCAGACCTTTCTATACCTAGCTAGTAAAGATGTTTTGTTTTTAAAAATAAGTGTAGGTCCTTACATTTCTTTTCGCTAAATTCCATGTTGTTAGTTCTCATACAATGTAATTCTGTCATATAATGTATATACTGTCTCTCACAGCTTTGTGTCTTTCACAAATTTGATAAGCATATTTTTTTCTCTATCCAAGTTATGGGTCAAACTGTTGAAAAGCATGGGCTGGAAATGGCACTTGAAATCTGCGATATGATTTAAATCTAGTGATCAGTATTCTTTGGTTATATTGTTCGACCAACTAATAGTCCTCATATGGACATTACCATCCACTTAAACTTCTCTCCTGAATTACAGAGCATTATGAGACACTGTCAAGGACTTGCTGATGGCTAGTTAAGCTATTTTGTTGGTTAGTCTAATCAGCGGTTCTCAACCTGTGGGTTGCGACCCTTTGGGGGTCGAACGACCCTTTCACAGGGGTAGCCTAAGACCATCGGAAAACACATATATAATTACATATTGTTTTTGTGAGTAATCACGATGCTTTAATTATGTTCAATTTGTAACAATGAAAATACATCTTGCATATCAGATATTTACATTATGATTCTTAACAATAGCAAAATCACAGTTATGAAGTAGCAACGAAAATAATTTTGTGGTTGGAGGTCACCACATGAGGAGCTGTATTAAAGGGTCGTGGCATTAGGAAGGTTGAGAACCACTGGTCTAGATTAACTTCAGGAAGTAAGGTTGGTTCAGGACCAATTGTTCTTCCTTAATGCGCTGTGGTCTTAGTGATCCCAGCTTTCCATTCTAGGGGTTTATACATTTCTTTTTAATTGTGAGCTCGCTTCTGGATAGGATCCTTCTTGCCCCTGATGAGGGAACTTGGAAATCTCGGGCCTTTTAAACTGTGGTGGGGATGTACCATGGGGAGAAAAATTATGCTTATTTTTGGAGTATTATTTCTGTAGTTTGGTTTTTCTCAGTGTGTTTAAGTCAGATTCTGGACTTAGACCCTATAGAGATTAGTTGGTTCTGTGTCCCTCTGAGTTTCAAGGAAGATTCTACTTCAACATATGGTACAGATAAGAGGTAAAAAACAGAAGAGGGCTTGTAACCTTAGGATTTGTAAGTGACAAAGAGCACATTTTCCTTAGATATGAACTTTGTTTTTAATTTACATTTCATATTAAGGCTTAAAATTCAAAAGGTCCAAAAGGGTTCATAGAGAAAGTTCTTGCTCTCATTCCTATTTTCAGCTATTTACTGATCCTTACTAAAGACAACCAACTTCACCGTGTGTGTGTGTGTGATCTCAGAGATATTTTATGCATATGCATTCAGATATTTAAAAAGACTTTGCTTTATTTTTAGTACAAATGGTACATTACATATTTTTCTGTATTTTGATTTTTCTATTTAATATATCTTGAAAGTTATTCTAAGAATATGAAATCTTTAAATAAATTGTGAGGGCATATTCTTTTAAATGTCATGTTAAAAATAAGTTCTTTCCATGCTATAGTTGCTTGTTTTTATTGTAATATTAAATATTATTAAATATTACATTATTTTAAAGTTAAAATATTTAGAAGTTAACATAGACCACTAGATGGTGCTGTCATCACAGAGAAATGAAATACAGTATAAACGTATTTTAAAAATAATTTCCACACCATAAGGAACAAACTGAACTACTACAGAACTATATACAGTAAAAAAGATTAACTGGGAAATTTATATGCTTATATGCATAGCTCATGGACACAGACAACAGTGTGGTGAAGGCCTGGGAGGGGTGAGTGAGGGTATGGGGGGTCAATGGGGAAAAAAGGGGT